CTGGCTGCTCCCTGTCTCGGCCTCACCGGCCTCACCCACCTTGCCCACCCACCTCAAACGGTGTCTTTTCCTGCAGACCAGACTGAGCAGAGCAGGGAACTACACTGTCCTCACTTGGGGAGCTGGGCCCTGCAGGAGGAGTCTCTGCTGGAGCCCTGGCCACCCCGGCCTCTCATCCCAGACAGCGTAAATAGGCACTCACAGCGTCCTAGGCACTGAGAGCAAACCAAGCAAAGGCGAGAGCCAGGCCCTTTCCCAAGTGGAAAGTGAGTGGAGGGGAGCGCACGATTCTACTCTTCAATGGAGATCCCAGGGGTTCGTTTTCACACCAACCAAAAACAGGACAACCTGAGAGCAGTGTCCCAGTGCCCGTGGGCCCAGACTGCTGACTGTACTTCCTGGGGCATCCTGTGCCGGGCTCTTCTCTTTCTGAAGGACAGCGCACTGGGATTGTGGGTGACGGGGGGTGGGGGTGGGGGCTCAGAGGGCTCCTCTGCAGTCTCACTCATACATCTGTGACTGGGGCCCTGTGCACTGCATGTGCACACCCAAACACGGTCCACACACACGACGTGTTTCTGCGCTCAAGTCCAGAGTGCCCTGCGTCCCGGCGGCACCCACGTACCGGCATGGCGTTGTTCAGCGTGTTGTTATAGACGCAGGCGCGCAGCGAGCCGTCCAGCATGCAGCCTTCAAACAGCTGCAGGGCCTCCGCCACCTTCTCGTGGAAGTCGTCCGCTGATTTATTCGAACTCGCAAAGTAGAGATAGTCGGAGTACAGCCTGCGGAGACAATCAGAGGGTGCGCTCAGCACCCGTGGGCACCAGACTGCACTGTCGGGGGAAGAAGGGAGAAATCTCCGTGCAATGCAATGATCAAACCCCAGAGCTGCTCTTCCAAACCAGGCAGAGGCTCCCACCCTGTCCCACACAAGGCCCCAGCATGGCTGTGTGTCCGTGTGGTTGCTTCGGCACACTGCACAGTGACCCTTAGGGCAAGGGGCATGTAATAGCCCGATCTCCACAACCGCACATCTGCCAAAGAGAGGCTGGGCAAATCATGCGCAATCACAGGGGCCAGTTCTCCTGGGGAACCCGGGCCCTTGCCACCCACATACCTGACATTATGGGTGGGGAGAGCGATGCGTAAACACTACCATGTGTGCGTGGAAATGCCCATCAGCTTAGCGTGTTTACCCAGGTCCCCCTGCCACCAAGATGCAGACCCCGGGTGCAAGCAGCCCTGTGCTCCCTCAGTCCCAGGGGTCGGTCTTAGAGGACTAGATTGGCAGGCTTTTCTTCCGCTCAGGGAAACATTAACGCACAGTGCAAGGGTCAGTCAAAGCGTTATCCCACGAGGGTCCCAGTCCACACGTGTAAGGCTTTACTCCACATAAAATACATATCAAGGTGTCTCTGCAGCCAGCGGATGGCTGCACACATGTCCTCCTGGGGATACACACAAAGGGTGCCTTCAGAAACCAAGGTTCAACCAACAGTGGCTTCCAAGGGGATCAGCTGGGCCCGCTCAACTCAAGGCAGAGAGAGGTGCTCAGAGATGGCGACTGGTCCTGGGGGAGACCAAAGGGGTCCTTCTGACTTGACCTATTTTCTTCAGGGACCCACGACCATCACAGGGTCGCATTATGAAGAAGTTTTAAGAACTGGAAAACTGCATTCATGAGAAAAGGCCAGGAACGTTGTGCCAAGGTTTCTTTGTTTGTTTTCACATCGGAAAGGGAGGGACGCCAGTCTACAGTCACCTCAGGTGCCCAGTCAGCAAGGACGTGAACAGGGCTTGTTGCACCATCACGGACGGCCACCGCCTCCGGCTGGGATTCTGACCCCCAGTCCCGAGGAAGCCTACAGCTCCTTTTGCCAGCACCCCTCCCTCCCTGAGATCCTGGAGCCACAAGGATGGTGAGATAGTTTATTGTGCCAGCCTGGCTGATAAACACAAGTGGGATTAACTGAAGGGCGGAGAGATAAATGGCTTGGTGAGCCTCCCTTTCTTGTCTCTCGCTCTTTGATCATCAGA